GGATAGTGGAGATGGACAGAGGTGAGGGTTTCACCCTCTGTTGCTTTGCTGGCACCTCATATCTCAACAGAAAAACCAGTGATGGTCAAGAAGCCTTATAAAGCAGGGTTTGGTTTCTACCTTAAAAAAAAAAAACAACTAATTTGATCTTCAAACTTTTACCTAAATTACTTTTTTTTTTAGGATTTATGACTAAAGTAGGGCAAGTTTCCTAACATCTCTGAACTCCTACTTTCTTATTTATAAACTCACTGCTATCCAATTGATTCTCACTCATTGTAGCCCTCCATCAGATTTCCAAGGCTGCATGTAAATGGGAGGAGACTGTCCATCTTTTTCCTGTGGAGCAACTAACATTTGGATTATAACTGTTCTTTTTATTAGTAGTACAATACACAACACACTATGCCACCATAGCTTTCTTATTTGTGTTATTGTTATGTACCATGTACTCATACCTGACCGTCCAGTGAGTTTTCAGAGGCTGTAAATTATACAGGAGCGTGCCCATTAAGGAAATGAGTGATACCAACTTAGGGTATACAGTAGATTCTTTCTAGTTCAGCCTCAACATGAAAATACAACCTACCCAAACTCTCAGCGGAGAAACCAGTTAGGTCATGCCCAAATGACTGAACCCAGCAGAGATAGATTTTTTTTTTTCAAGTGTGATGTTTCAAGGTGTGGTGTTTGCTTGCTGCAATAAGAAATTGATTTAATTTACTGTTAGGGGCCAGGAGCACATTCTCAGCTCTTAATACCAGAAATATCTGAAGCATTGCCAAATGTCCTCTGGGAGGGCAAAATTATCTCTAGTTGAGAACCACTGCCTTAGGGCTAGGTTTCTCAAGCATGGTACTATTGATGTTTTGGGTTTTGATTTTTTTCAGCCTTCACTCTGTACTTTTTTTTTTTGGCATTTTTAATTTAGGTTTGTTTTATTTAAGTTTAATGTTAATTCCATGCTGTGTTTCAGTAAGAACAATACAGATTCTGTATCTGTGGCTCCAGTCAGATATCCAGT